CCGCCGAGTGCATGGTACGTATACGCTCATTGTGCCGTTGTAGATACAGTATATATATAGTATACACTTGCTTCTTGGGGGCGCCAGAACGGCCAAGAGGAGGAGGATGAGGAGGATGGGGGATGAGGAGGAGGAGAGAGGAGGAGGAGGAGGAGGAGGAGGAGGACCACTTCGGCGAACTGGAATCCAGTTCGCCGTTCTGTGGCCGTTCTGTGGCCGAACTGGAATCCCATTCGCCGTCTGGGTGGCACCAACACGGCGAACTGGATTCCAGTTCGCCGTTTTGCGGGCGTCTTGGGTGCGCCAAAACGGCCAAGAGGAGGAGGAGGAGGAGGGGGGGGAGGAGGAGGAGGAGGAGGAGGAGGAGGAGGAGGAGGAGGAGGAGGAGGAGTAGGAGGAGGAGGAGGAGGAGGAGGAGGAGGGGGACAGCAGGGGGAGGAGGACCCAGGGAGGAGGAGGAGGAAGAGGATGAGGAGGATGGGGAAGGGAGGAGGAGGAAGAGGGGGAGGAGGAAGGAGGAGGAGGGAGGATGTCATTTCTAACCCCTTTGAAATAACATGTGCGATCGGGGGAGGTGGGGGGATGAGGAAGGGGGGGAGGAGGAGAAGGAGGAGGAGGAGGAGGAGGAGGAGGAAGACGCGCTTCGCGCGTGGATGTCTCCCCAACCTATTTTTTAGCGGCTGATGTATATATATATATATATATATATATATATATATATATATCAGTTTTCATCTAGATCAGTGTTTGAATGTGTGCTTGCTGTTCCGCTAAGGTTATGGACGTTCCGCTCGAACCCTAGCCTCTTTGTGCGCGTTGTAAGATGGCCCAAGATGGTTCCGATAAAATATTAAGGATATGCCTCCAGGGTTAATCCAAGATTCGTACTTGTTTGCACGTCTGCTCTCTTAGCTGAAGCTTCCCCAGTCCTCCCAGATGACTCCAGAATAGGTGGTCGTGCTTTGTATTTTTTCAGGCGCGAGCATGCTGGCAGCCGATAGCCCGCCACAGAGCGGCCACGGGCTCCGCAATCCACGGAGCTTCACGCCGAAACAAAACACGCCTAATCGCTGAAGCCGTACAGCTCGTGCGTAGCGTCGGTGCACGCCTGCGTGAGGTCGCCCTCATTCTGGATCTTCCCAGCCTTCACCTGGTTGCCGATGTCGATCGCCATCTTCGTTGCATCCGCCATGTAGCGCTCTTCGCGGATGGGAATGTTTGCCCTCTGCGCTCCATCCACGTAGAAGGAAAGGAGCACGCCCGTCTTGTTCACGCCAGTGACCCTGTCCTTGCGACGCTTCGCGGCAAGGTGCAGGCCGCCCCAGTCACACTCGAAGATCGGGGCCAGCTTCATCTTCTTGGCGGTCTTCGAGGCATCGTTGAAGAGCTGCATGTCCTCGACGCTCATGCCGCTGACTGCCGGCACGGTGCCATCTGGCCAAGCCCCCTGCACTTCGTCTCCAGACGCATACAGGTCCTCGGTGTAGATCTTGCTCTTCTTGCCGATCTTCTTCATCCAAGCGCCCTTGGTCACGTGGAAGCCCGTCTCGTAGTCAGCCGCCGAGTCTGGATCCAGACTCGGCGGCTGCTCGATCTCGATCTCGTCGACGGTCTTCCCTTCTGAGGCTGGGTCCTGGCGCGGCCCCTGGCGCATCATATCGCTGATCGTCGTGATGGGCATGTCCATCTTGAACAACGATGGGGCATCCGAGGCGGACGGTGCAAAGGCTGATGACGGTGCCGAGGCTGGCGGTGTCGAGGCTGGCGGTGCCGGGGCGACCGGTGCCGAAGCTGGCCTTCGCATGGGAGCTGCGGCTGGCTTTTTGGCTGGGCGGTCGTCGTCGATAGCAGCATCCCCCTCGAGATCTTCTTCCTCCTCGCCCTCCTCGAGGTTCCTCCTCTTCCTCCTCGCCCTCGTCCACCGCGCAGCTTGCAGGCCTTTTTTTTCGGAGTCCCAGCAGCTGCAGGACGCCTCATCGGCGTGCTCGTGCAATTGGCGCACTCCTCGATGGCCGTCACCCAGTCTGGTTTCGACGCGTAGCCCTTCGCACGCCAGTAGTGGCAGAGCATCGTCTGGAGTCGCTTTGGGACGATGGTCGTGGCCTCTTCGAACGCCTCCTCCGACAGCTGGTTTTTCCAACCCTATAGTGAACACCCTGAGCACTGCCTGATGCACGACCCTCGGCGACAACGAGATATCCGACCTTTCCTTGAAACATGCCATTGCTCCAATCAGCTCCTTATGTTTGTCTAGACTCTCTGGCTCCACTGGGGTCTCGCGCATCTTGGTTCCGTAATTGACGAACCCTGGACCCTTTGCGAACGGCAGGATCACTGCCGCCAACTCATCGGCGCCTGCGCCCATTCTCACAAAATATGGAAAGATGGAGAGAAGGAGCAATATGACAGGGCGTGGCGCCATCAGCGCCACAAGGAAACCTTGAACCACAATGTGGCTACGGCTATGCAAACGCCCAACGTTTCAAGATCTCAACCCTCCAAAGGCTGGCCAATGATCGGTTAACAGCTGGCGTGTTGCATCTCGGTTTCTTCAGAAGAATGCGAGGGTTGTTTGTTTTTCTGTTGGAGGGCGCTTGTTATTTGCTGATCCGTGTTTCGTGTGCTTCTTTCTTCGGGGCGGGGCGGGGGCGGGGTGCGTGTGTGTGTGTGCGTGTGTGTGTGTGTGTGGGGGGGTTAAGCAGTTTTTTCAAACTATGTTTTCCAAGGGCCTCTGGGCGCTTAATCACACTGGGCCTCTCGGGGCATCTTGGGGCGGCCTCGTCGGGGCCGCAGTCGTTGAATAGGCGTGTATATCTATACACATATGTACATGTGTATGTATGCATGCATGTCTGTATGCATAACATACATATATATACATGTATATATATGTATGTATGTATACATAAATAGATAAATACATAACTAAACATTCATACACGCATACTATATATACGTGTATATATACAAATATGTATATATATGTATGTATGTGTGTGTACATATATATATATATATATATATATATAACCGCGGGGACTAAATCATGAATCGGGGACTTCGGGGACTAAAAGATGAATCGGGGACTGCGGGGACTAAATGGGCTGCGGGAACCAAAACGTGAAGATCGGGGACCTTTCTGGTTTCGCGGGGGCGGAACCTTTTTTTGGTCCCCGAGGACCTCTGGGTCGCGCATCTTGCACTTCGAGTAGTGCCCGTACTGGTTCCCGCCGCTCCACCTCGCGGTCAACGGGCGAGAACAGCTCGCCCGCTCGCCCTCTACCTTGACCTTCAGAGTCATGCGCGGGGCCGCGACAGGCGCGAGATCGCGCAGACCCTGAGGAACAGCGCCATTTTGATGGACCACCTGCGCCACGCGCGAACAGCCGGGCTCAGCAGGAAGGCGCCCTCGTAGAACAGCTCCTTCTCGACCACCACCATGGCCTCTTCCTCGAAGTTGATGCGCTGCAGCTCGGTGTCGACCCAGGGGTCGGGAGTCTGATCCCAGTTCATCTCGATCTCTGACCCCGCTTCCTCCTCGTACTCCGGGATCACCTCCAGCTCCGGGTCCGATTCGATGGTGTCGCGCTGAGCCCTCAGCGCCTGCTGGCGTAGGTGCGAAAGCGAGCGAGTGCTCCGGGTCTTGATGATCTTGACCTTCTGGGTCGGCATCGGGCGCTCGAGACCGTAGAACGCGCAAGGGTCGCCGGCCCGACTGGTCACTGCTAGTGCTCGAGCCGGGATGTGCTACGGAGGGTCGGCTAGCCCCTGGCCCCGAAAACTGTCTGGCCCTGGTTCCCGACTGTTCTGGATCAATGCTGGAGGGGAGAAGGCGAGAGGAGAGCGAACGCTGTCTTTCGCAAGCAGTGCAGCCCGCCCCGCCCCCAACGTCCTGACTGAGAGCCTCGATCGGAAACTCCTTGTACCCGATCCAGCGGCCGGCAAACTGCAGCACCTCGCTCGGGGCGCCGTCGGTCCAGGAGCCCTCGAGGGCGCGGCAACCGGACGAGACGTCGCCCAGCATCTGGTAGATGACGCGACCCGGCCCTGAGTACGAAATCGAGGCTGGAGGCGAGCCCGCCTCGGCCAAAGAAAAAGCGCCCTGCCTCGAATTCACGCGCACGCGCCGAACTACGCTCTCCAGCTGGACCCAGCAATCCTGCAACTCCGACGGTACCTCGAGCCACGAATGAGTTCCACCAGCCCCCACAACGAGGGGAGGGAACTTGTCCGCCAAATCCTGGTGAATCGAGAAATCCGTGGACTCGCGGCCTATGAGCGAGACGGCTCGGTGACCCGAGGGCAGCTTCAGCGACATGAGACCCTGGCGATCGCCTTCCTCCCCGATCGTCATGACGCCCCGTCGAAGGTCGATCACGGACTTGAGAAAATCTAAAAACTTCGCCGGCAGCAATGGGGGACACGGGCGAAGCAGAATCAGAAATTCGACCACGCCACACGCTTGATGAGAGCCAGGGACTGCAGCTACTCCGATCGGTTTGACCTTCCCGCCCACTCCATTGGCGGTCAGAACCTTGTCGGTGTCAAAGATGTGTACCTCATACCCTTTCTTCTTGAACGCCGATCTGAGCCGATCGATATCTGGGGTGCCCATCAACGCCTGTCCAGCCGCCGTGTCCACCAGGGCGCACTCGCCCATGTCTTGCAACGTAGCCGCCGCGAGCATCTCTAGGTCCACCTGACCCGGATATGGCGACCGCTGGCCAATCTGGCCCGCGATCGTCTTGCCCGCGGTGTCCATGAGCGGCCCCACGTGGCCCGCCCCATGGAAGATGTCAGCCACGCTCGTCCAGGAGCGAGCGCTCGAACCGTGCTCCAAGTTGAACTAGAACGAAGACTGCACCGGCTTCTTGTCTTGCCCCTCTCCGGCTGCAGCCGGTCGGGATGACTCCGACTTCAGGCGACCTGCTATACTTCGGCACGGTTTCCTGCAGTCCTCACGCCAGTGCCCCTTTTCCCCGCAATTCGGACAGCGTGACCTCTTCTTGGAATCGCCCCTGGTGTCCTTCTTCGCGTCCTTGCATCTATCGAAGTCCCTGTCCACACGTCTGTTGGTCTTGAGCTGCCTGGCCTCTGCCCACGTCCTGCGAGGCTGCGGGAGCGCCACCTCTGCGAAAACGTCCAAGATGTGCTCCTCGTCCAGGTCCTGGGAGTCCAGGGAGACGAGGATGGTAGTCAGCTCCTGCTCATCGAATTCCATCTCGAAGAAGCCGACGCAATCGCTGTCGTCGCACACCCCGCAGTCGTGCTCGTCGGCTTCCTCAAGCACCGTGACTGCGAAGGTCTTTGCCGGCATGGCCGCAGGAGCCCAGGGCAGCGTCTGCTTCTCCGTGATGTCCAGCTCGAGCAAGGCGGCTTGAACTGCGTATATCGTCTTCCTGTCGGCCATCAGCGTCCTCAGGTTCAGCCTCAGCTGAGGTGTCAGATTCGCTCCTTCCTCGTAGTACCTGGCCTTGACGTGGTCTGGAAGCGTCAGTCCCAGCCTTTCGGCTGCTGCTATCTGCTGATCTCGCCTAACTATCAAGTCTGTGAGCGTCTCCCCCTTCCGTATGGCGAAGTCGAACAATGCCTCGTTGTGCGCCTCTCTTTCTTTGTCTCCCGGGAGTTCTCCGTTCAACAGCTTGAGGTGGTCGATAACCTTCTGGATACCGTAACTCGCATCGACCAGGTGCCTGACGCTCTTAAACTTCGCCTGCAGCTCGATGGGAAACGACTCGATGATACGCCCGGCGAACTTCCGCCTTGAAGGCGGTTCTCTGGTCCCAGGACTTCAGGCTTGCAAGGTACAGCTCCAAATTATCTAACCCGTGCCATGTCGGAGGCGCTGAGTAGTCTCGATTGACTTCTGCCCACGGTTACTTACCCACGAGTTGGACCCAGACCAACTCCAGGAGGACCACCATCTCCAATCAGACCACTCAGTGCCTCGCCAGTCTCCCCACACCCCTTCTCCACTCATAGAGCCTGCTGCGGCTCCATCCTGTCCCTCCTTGGGCGTGGAGAGCTTCCCCCACGGGTCGTGTACATGGGCGCTCTGTTGCTCACGAACTTTTCCGTCTCGAGCGTCGCCCTCATCACCACGCCGAGCAGAGCCCCCCTGACCCATGTCCTCGTTCACGCTCCGGCTACCATTGTCGGCTGGCATCGGGGGCGGATGAGGCCGATAAGCCTAAGAAGATCACTTTCTCAAACGAGAGTGCGAGCGAACTCAAACAAATCAGTTCAATGGCGCGAGAGCGCCCCGAAGCCAAATTGGCTGCAAAGATACTGTCGGTCACAAAGGGGAGAAGACAGGAGAGGAAAATGAGAACAACCACAAACCACCACACCACCACCGCCACCACCACCACAACCCGCCACCACCACAAATCACCACTAAACCACCACCACCACCACTTCCACCCTTCACCACAACCACCACCACCACAACAAGCCACCACACCACCACCACCACCACCACCGCCACCACCACCACCACAACCCACCGCCACCACAAACCACCACCACCACCACCACAACCACCACCACCACCACAACAACAAACCACCACCATCACCACCACAGTTTCCCCCACAACCACCACCACCACCACCTTAACCCACAACCACCACAACTACCACCACCACCAGAAATCACCGCACCACCACCACCACCGCCACCATCACCACCACCAACCACCACACCACCACCGCCACGACCACCACCACCGCCACAACCACCACCACCACCACCACGACAGCCCACCACCACAACCACCACCACCACCACCTCAGAGAGGCCCCAAGAGACGCCCAAGAGACGCCCAAGAGGCCCCCGAGAGCCCTCCGACGAGACCCCAAGAGGCATCAATTAGGAGTCTGACACAAAACCGAAACACGGTGGCGAAGCGTCGTCGTCGTCGTCATCGTCGTCGCCGTCGTCCTCGTCGACGCACCCCGCCGCCGACGCCTGCCGCCGACGCCCGCCGCCGCCGCAGGTGCCAGCGCCGGCCCAGAAACGGAAGTCGTCGTCCCCGCCGCCGCCGCCAGCCCCCGCCGACGCAGGCGCCCGCCCGAGGAGAGGGAGAGAGGAGAAGTAGGGGAAGAGGGCGGGGGGGGTCGAAATCCCCCCCCGCCGTCAAGGGGTGGGGGGTTCGACCCCCCAACCTCCCTCCACCCAGCCAGGGGGGTGGGGGGGTCCGGTTCCACCCCAACCCCTCCAAGCAACGACGGAACGCGCTCTTTTGTACATACATACATACATACATACATACAAACAGACAGACAGACGGACGGACGGACAGACAGACAGACAGACAGGCATATACATACATACATACATGCATGCATGCATGCATACATACATACATACATACATAAATTACATTACATTACATTACATTCCATTCCATTACATTCCATTCCATTCCATTACATCCCATTACATTACATTACATTACTTAACATTACATTAAATTGCATCGCATTGCATTGCATTACAATACATTACATTACATTACATAACATTACAATACATTACATAACATTACATTACATTGCATTACATTGCATTACATACATACAAACATACCTAGATACCGACCTACCGACCTGCCTACCTATCTACCTACCTACGTACCGACACACCTACATACCTACATGCAGGCATCCATACATACAGACATACATGCATACATGTATGTCTACATATATACATCCATACATACACCCATCAGTGCATGCATGCATGAAGACACATATATCTACCTAATTACATACCTACCCACAGACATGCATACATCCATGCATGCATCTATATATATATATATATATATATACATATGCATATAAGCATACAAACATACATACATACAGACAAACAGGCATACATACATGCACACACATACTTACCTACAAACATACATACGTACGTACGTACCTACCGACCTACCGACGTGCCTGCCAACCGGCCTACCTACCTGTCTTTCGGCCCACCTACCTGCCTACCTACTTGCATACACGCATGCGTGCATACATGAAGACAGATAGACTATGTATGCATGAACCATGCATGTGTGTACGTGTGTATGGATGTAGGTATGTACGTATGCGTACACACATACATGCATTTATGCCTGCATACATACATATATGCATGCATGCCGAATTACCTACCTACCGACCTACCGACCTACCTACCGACATATTTGCCGACCTACACGCACGCACACACACACACACACACATGCGTATATACATACATACAGACATGCACGCATGCACTTAGAATGTACATAACGCCTTTCAAGGATCCCCAGGCGCGGGCAGAAAACATACACAACACACTGATTCACACTCACACACAGACACGCTCTCTCTCTCTCTCTCTCTCTCTCTCTCACACACACGCAAACTCATACATACACGCACATACAATTTCCCACAACACAATAGGAACACACCTCCACGCAAGACATACGCAAATGTATGCCGACATGCATACACATGCCTGCAAATACATGTGCACATGCATCGCAATATCAAAACATGTCTTGTTATCGAGGCCGGGTGTGAGGTCCTCCGAATCCGGCATCGATGGCTCGGTGGACGTGGTCTCCCGTGCAGTCTCCCCAAGGGTCTCCCGCATGGTCTCCCGCACGGCCTCCTGTGACATCCCGCAGGGCCTCCCGTGTGATATCCCGTACGGTCTGCCGTATGGCCTCCCGTATACGCAACATCTTAGAATGCTCTCCACATTCCTGAATGATACGGCTTGGGATCATCTTCTGTTTTGGAGGGAGGAGATGGAAGCGGACAGCAACGGTTCGCGCCACGGGCCTCGCCAGGCGCGCCGCCGAGAAAGCAAGCCCCCAGCCTAGGACCGTTTTGCCGCCAGGGCGTGATTTGCTGGCTGCCCCAAGCGAGCACATCGACAGCGTTCCGTGGCAAGACGATGATCGCCTGGTGCAGCTGCTGTGAAGCTCCAAAGGTCAGCTCAACTGACCCTACCATCCTCACCTCCTCCCTCCTCCCTCCTCCCTCCTCCCTCCTTCCTCTTCCTCCTTCTCCTCCACCTGCTCCTCCTCCTCCTCCTTCTCCTCCTCCTTCCTCCGTCCTCCTTCCTCCTTCCTCCTTCCTCCTCCCTCCTTCCTCCTTCCTCCTTCCTCCTTCCTCCTCCTCCTCCTCCTTCTCCTCCTCCTTCCTCCTCCTCCTCCTCCTCCTCCTCCTCCTCTTCCTCTGCCTCCTCCGTCATCCGTTCTCCGTACTCCTTGCTCCTGCTCCTGCTGCTCCTTCCTCTCCCTCCCTCCTCCCTATCTCAGATCCCTCCTCCCTGCTCCCTCCTCCTCCCTCCCCCTACCCTCCCCCCTTCTCCCTCCTGCCCTCCCTCCTCCTCCTCCTCCTCCTCCTCCCCTCGCCCGTCCTCGTCTCCCTTCCTCTTCAATTCCTTCCTTCCTCCTTCCTCCTTCTCTCCCTCCCCTACCTCCTTCCCCTCCTCTCCTCCATCCTCCTTCCTAATTCCTCCTCCCTCCTCCCTCCTCCCTCCTCCCTCCTCCCTCCTCCTCCTCTTCCCATTATGATTTGTATGATGCGTATTCTTATTCTAAAATATGCTTATTTGTAATGTTATCATTTGTCTTATTATTATCCGCCGGCCCCCTTGTGGGGCCACCAGGTTGTATGGCTAAGCTTCTCAATTTCCTGTACCAGTTGCAGCTCCCAGTTTCCATTGTTACAATTATGTTTATTGCTGCTTACTGTTACTTGTTGACTTATTGCTGCTTACTGTTCCTTGTTGATGGACCGCGCGAGGGAAGGAGGCCCAAAACGGACATGTTCCCGGAAAGGGCTCGAGCCCAGGGTTCTCTTTTAGTTGGTCTTCCCCCCGGTTTCGACGGGAGGTGGGCCGGAGAAATTATTCTGCGATAAATTATGTGCGGGAAGAGGGCCGGCGAAATTATTTTTGAGGATGTCTCGAGCGAAACCCTTGTTTTTCAGAATTTGTTGAGGATGTCTCGAGCGAGACGCTGGTTTTGCAGAGTTGGGGATGTCTCGAGCGAAACGCTTGGTTTCAGAATTTGTTGAGGATGTCTCGAGCGACACGCTGGTCTTGCAGAGCCGACCGCGACACGGAAAAGCGCCCCTCGCGCAGGAATTCTGAGGATGTCTCGCGCGTGCCGCGTCCCGCGCGCGGGTATTTGGATTTCTTGGGATTTTGACAGGATGTCTCGAGTGAAACGCTTGTTTTTCATAATTTGTTGAGGATGTCTCGAGCGAAACGCTGGTTTTGCAGAGTTGGGGGATGTCTCGAGCGAAACGC